TTGACAGACACTTTTCTGTACCTTTTAAGTTGCCTGTCACAATGATTTCCAATAATAAAAGCGGAAAAACGATATTTAGAGAATACAGCTTACAGAAAGTACATTGTCATAGAAACTGTCTGTTCATTTATAGATTTTTTGTGTGATTAAATAGGTTTAAAAAGAAATACTTTATACTCATTCGTCTCAAAATATTGGATGGTATTATTCTGCTTGATATTGGATATTCTAAACGTTTATTTAACCCATAAATATCCAAAGTTTTAATCCTGCATCAGAACTTATATACAGATAGTTAGGATAGACTTATAGTTACAAGCTCGAAAAGTTTCTAAAGAGAAAATTAAAAACTTTCAAGCAGATGACAATGAAATAATGGTGTACTTTGATGTCACAGGATTATATTCTTCAAATGGTTTAAAACTAGCGCAAAAAACTATGCCACAACTATTCTGTAGCCACAAAAAAATAAAACAATATTTTACTTGGATGGAACTCACAGAATTATGTCTTACAACACACTTCTAATTTAATAATCAAATGTACCAATAGATAAAAGGACCACCAATGGGATCGCTGATATCAGGATTAGCAGCTGAAGCTGTTATGCAAAGATTAGAATTAATAGTTCTACCTATAATTAAACCAGAAAATCTGGTACGTTACGTTGATGATAGATTTAATAATAGTAAAAGAAATTATTTGGGATATACTCACAAATTAATAAAGAACATATTTGAAGACATTAAATTCACAAGAGAAGAATTTGACAAAATATTCCATTCTTAGGTGTCTTCCTTAATCAAGAGAACTAACATAGGAAATTTAGAAACAAAAAATGCAGAAAATCAACACACACACAGACAAATTACTCAACTATAATAGTAATAACCCAATTACTCACAAAAGAAACTGTATGCAGACAATGTTCAAAAGAGTTCAAACACACTGAAACACTCTGGCTTTGGAGAGAACGGAGGAAAAGTGGCTTACTAACCGTCTTCAGAAAGAATGGATATCCTCACAATTCCATTAAAAAGTGTTTAAAATTGAGTTACAACACCAACAACAACCCAACATCATAGACCACAAGAAAATTCATTCTACAATATATAACAAATATCTCTGAAATAACAACTAGAATATTAAGACGATTTGAAATAGTTATAGCACATAAGCCAGTTCAATCACTTCATTCACTATTGTGGAATCCAAAAGATCCAACAGAAAAAGAAGACAAATTTAATACCATTTAGAAAATAAATTGCATGTATGAACTGTAACAGACATTATGTCGGTCAAAGTGGACGTCCCCTTCAAATCCAAATCCAAGAACACAAACTGACTGTAAAAAGTTATGATATATATTCTTTCATATTAATCAATGCATCTGGATAATTATGGATACCTATTTGATTGGGATAATGTAGAAATTTTGAACAGAGGAAACACCAAAAGTACTGCCACGGAATTCCCAGAAACCTACTACTCTGGCGAATCAACAATTATATTAATACAGACCAAATTTTTCAGCTAATAAAAAATAAATCAAGTGACTATAAAGTCTGAATTCCAAGTGAATAAAAATGATCAATATAGACGTGCATTAACAAGCAATCACGATGATTTTTGATAGGAGACACAATTCTATCTTTCATGGAGAATTCAGATGAGTTCATTTTATGCTAAAGCCTTCTCTAAAGATGTTGTCTGAAGGGACGACGAAAGCTTCATAAATAAATCAACCAACTCAAAGAACATAACTAATTCAGTATCATCCGCCTGAGCTACAAATCTCCAATTTTTTCGATAGCTTTATAGTCACAAGCTCGAATTCTTTGGTTATTCTATGAGGAATCAAAATTTTTTAAGTTAACTGAGATTTACGACATATTTATTCCCTCGGTGAATGAAATATACCCATGCATGACTAGTTAATCTCACTAAATTGAATGGTATCCTCTCTAAATGTCTTACGTTTAAATCAATTTAAAAGGGGGTTACTTTTGTTGTTCACAGAAAACTTTAAGTGAAACAGAACAGTCACTTAGGAAATATCAGTTTTCATCTGAAACGTTTTTGTTTTTTTTACCATGTGTTCAATTTTTTCTCAAATACTTTTCATTCTGGTCTGCAGTGATGCATTTTGTTAACTAAGACTTTCTGAAGTCGAATTGTCAGTTGTTTCATCTAAATCCGCCATTCGAAAATTGCAGCCGTTATAACACTTCAATTTTTTGTAGTTTTAAACAAATTCAGTAGGCGTATCGTTTGTCTGTTTAGTGTTCATACCGAGGATAAACTATCAATAGTGTGTGTGTGTGTTTAGGAATTATCAGCAGGAAGCCAGAAATGTTTCTTCCGTACATTTTTATCCCTCATTAGCAAAGCACTGGAGAAACGTTCTAGAAACTGGTACCAGCTTAGGTAAACAAATCTTCACTAGCATATATCGTAGTAAGACGGGTTAGCGCCAAGATATCTAGACTCTGAATCCTTTTTATTCTCTCTCTCTCTCCTTTACTCTCTGCAGGGATGGAATGTATTATTAAGATTGACACTGTAGTATTTTAACTTTTGTGGGTGATATACTTTTAGTGTTATATATGAATCATTTACTGCCACTGTGTATCCTGTTTTGGTCATATGCAAAGTATGACTCCTGTGTGAATACCATTTCATATGCACTATGCAGATCAATGAAAAATAGATACTGTTTATATGATGACGTTTAGCGAGGCAACAAAGAATAATATAGGAACTATAATATGGAAAGAATATAAGTATATTAATCGATAGAAATATTCATTGATAATGAATGAAAAACATTCGCTAAAAATGTCAAAGAATGGAAAACCCTAACATTCATTCACCACAGTTTAATATTCACACTGTAAACTTTACTGGTATCATTTAGCTGACACTGCAAATTACAGAACATGTACTAGGCTTCTATTATTGATTATCTAGGTTAGCAGTGTTAGCAAGAAAGGTGCATGTATTTATCCTATATTTTAAGGAGTTACGGGACATTTTGTTTTTCTGCCTGTTTTACAAGTACCTTCACATTCTTTTGCTACACATAATCTGAGCACATATTAACTACCATTGTCTAAAAGTGAACTTCATAACAACAGTAGGGATTTTGCTTGATTGATTTGACGATTTCATCCTCATTTAGAGAACGATTGAAAGACCTGCAGGGAGTACTGGACAGCTGTTTTGTCCTAGTTTGGTACCCCTCACAGTACGCACCCACTGACGAGGTTTGAACCCAAGATCTTCTGGTTACAAGGCGAGCTTGAAGACTATTAAGCCACCGGGACCCGATTCAATGGCCAGTCCATGAATTCTAGCTTCTGCCTATTTATGGCATAACACGAACACTTCGCAATGTCTTCTTCGAAGAGTAAATATCCTCACCATCAACCCGCTGCACCCTACTGGTCATGGCTTCCCACAAGAACCCTAGGTTAACTGCCTGAATCGTTTCTAGTGAGCATCAGATTAATTTTACCTAGAATTGAGCTTTAACAGTACATTAGGTTAAAGGGATGTTATAAAGTGGTAATAGAAACTAATGATAGGATTTGGTCCTGGTACCTATATTTGAGTATGAGGTTAAGCATAAAATGTCGCTATTATCATAACACTGAATGCATTACTGACAGACATAGTCACTCCATGGTCTTCATGAATTATGCAGCTAAAGAAAACTACAGAAATGATAGTTTTGGAAACATTTTTATCAGTGGAAGGGAGTAAACAACCTGTTTTTTTTATATTTTACCCCCTTCACATGTCGTTTATTTGCAAATATGTACAAGATTTGTGTCAAATATCCAGATCTCAGAGATCCTGGACCTACTGCTGGTTTCAGAAGACTAAGCGTAATGCGCAGAACACCATTCTCTGTAACAACAGAAAATTGTAAGGTAACATGACCGTTCATTATTCAAGCAATAATGAAACATTCACTTATCTAGGGAGCATTGTCTCAACTACACGCAGTCGGAACGGACGAGGATGTCAAATCGAGCGAGAATCGGGAAGGTGAGAAACACATTCATCAACCTGAAACCAATCTGGAAATCTTCGTCACTCAGCCTGCAACAACAACAAAATTCGGTCGGATTTTCAATGCAAACAACGTCAAGTCAGTCAGTTCTTCTATACGGATCAGAAACTTGGCGGGCGGGTCAAAAAAATATTTCCAACAGCCTTTTGCAGACCTTTATCAACCAACAACTGTCTTCGCTGGATCTACACTGAAGATCAGATGGCCGGCCGGGCCGGAAAGAATCACCAAAAAGAAACTATGGCTGGAAACAAACAAAACAAGAACTAATCGCCAACCTAAAAATATGCAGGAGAAATTGGAGATGGATTGGACACTTACTAGCTGAGGAGGCTTCTGGGTGACATCGCGCATCAGGCCATTGCTCGAGTGGAACCAGGCCTAAAGGGAAGCGGCGAGTGGGACGTCGGTGCAAGGGTGACATGGGGGAGATCGAGTGAAGAGGAGTTGAAAGAGTATGGACTAACTAACATGGATGGAGGTGAAAAGTGTAGCAGAAGGAAGACAGAAGTGGCAAGTGGAGACGTTCAGTTGAAGCCCTATGTTTCACTAGGAACCCAAGGGAATAGTGATAATAATAATAAACATAGAGTAAAAGATATATCTTAAGTCAAACTGATGTTAGTCTACGTATTGATATAACGGCTTTTGAAAATATTGCATACATCCCTTGATGTACTTTTGCAGCTTTTCTGTTTCAAGGGAAGCATCGTGACATTATTTCCTTGAAACACAGCAACTGTTCTTTGATTACTATTGTTTTTGTTTTCATTCTTCTTTTCATTGATAATAGGCAGTGATAATAAACTGTTTATCGGTAAATTGTTTTATCAGCTGTATAGTGTTCAAATGATTATCTGTTGTTTGATATAACTTTGTTTATTTTTATTATATTTTTTTTCAAAATTTTATTTAATATTAGATCTGGACGTACTCCTGTTATGCTAGCTGTTCTTGGCGGTTACACTCATATTGTACGCTTATTATTATTTTGGGGTGCTACGGTGGATATTATGGATTATGCAGGACGTTCTTTGTTAAGCATTGCTGCACAGATTAAAAATGCACAAATTGTACAAGAATTACTAGCACGTGGTTTGGATGAAGCTCATAAAGATCATTCAGGTTGCACACCTCTACATTTAACTTTGGAAAATTCCTGTGATAGTGAATTGTCTCTAGAGCATGAAAACAATCAAGATGAATGTTGTGAAGAAGTGATTCGGTAAGTATTTTTTTGGCTGATAATTAACTATAATTTGTCCTTATAAATGTGTATAAATAAACCTCCTATACTGTGTAATTTTAGTTAGATGTATCTAGAAGTTTAGCATTAAATAAATGAGAGTTCAGTGCATCAGTGGCACAGCGGTGGAATGCTCTCCAACCATGCATGAGGTCCAGGGTTCGGTCCCGGCAGCCGATTTCCTTCACCTCACTAAGCCAGTAATAAAGCTGGTAAAGAGGAAAGGTTGGGGATGAGCCTAGCAACCTCATCCTATAAAAATAAACAGTACTACTACCGAAACTTCAAGCCTCTAGCTTGAAGCCCTATGTTCTACTGGAGATGTGAAGGAATAAAACAAAATGAGAGTTCTGCTGTCGTTTCATATAACATGACACTAAAATTTGATTTGATAATATGTTATCAGGGTCAAATAGAAGGTATAAATAGCAGAGACTGGGTGACCACGTGAAAGATGGAAAATTTATAGTTGTTAATAAAAGAGGTGACACTTTCTCTGTATAATTCTTATTTAAATTCATGTAACTTGTTACGACTTGTTTTTATCATGTAAATGAGTGAATACAAATGTTACCAGCTGATACACCTATAAATTAACTACAAAAAAATATGTAAATGCTATTAGCAGAAGTGCATTTGAATTAGGCTACTGTACTACCGATGTATAGTTATATTGCATAATTAACTATGTCCTTTACAAACATAGATTAGTTTAGCTTAAAATAATTTAATATTGCAGTATGACGAAAATAATACTATGATCAAATGCTAAAGATGAACTATTCTGAAGGGTTTTTTTCCTTCACGTTCCCAGTGGAACATAGGGCTTCAAGCTAGTGGCTTGAAGTTTCTGTAGCAGTGTTTATTTTTACAGGATGGAGTTGCTAGCCTCATGCCCAACCTTTCCTCTTTACCAACATTATTTCTGGCTTAGCGAGGTAAAGGGCTGCGTCGGCTGGGGATCGAACCCCGGACCATATGCATGGTCGGCGAGCGTCCTAACCGCTATGCCACCGACACATATTCTGAAGGATTAAGAGAGTAAAATACACTGATAAAATCTTGTGGCAGAAAACCATTCTGTGGCATGTGCTACTGACAAGATTTCGTAAGTAGTGTATTGTATTCGATATCTTCTAAAAGAGTATTGGATAGAGTAGGACGAATTAAGTTGCGAAGGTGGGGGGGCGAGAATGAAACATCCCTGTGAAACAATAGAGGAAGGATGCAAAGAAAACAAAAGAAACACAATATTGAGAACAGGTTGAAAAGGATATTCCAATGTAAGATATATGTTTCTTCTCATAACTTAACCGTAGAAGACGAAAGACTTGGTAAGGAATGTGTATTTACAATTTGACAACGCATCATTTGCACAGATCTTCCATGTGTTGTGCTACTTCTGGAATTCATACTGTGTTTCTTTGTGTTCCTTTCATGTCGTCCATGTATCTCCGCAACACTGTATCATTTGCTTTATTTGATATGAAATCCATCTCCCTGCTATTTGATGTTTTATGCCAATGAACATCTTTATATGTATATATGTACTACTGATAAATCTTATCAGTAGCACATGCCACAATACTGTACATCAATTTACCAATAAACAGTTTAGCTACCAGATACTACAGTGTTCTGTTGCTAATCTGTCAACAAACGAGTGCATATTACTCATTAGTTTAATTAGCTGTACCAATCAGCGATACTCCTAATTCCGACTGAGGTAATTCATCAATGAATGGGTACTGTGTGTCAGCTCATGATTAAATCCTCCATGCTTTCAGGAAGTGACTAGATTTTTCAGGCCAACTCATCGTTTTCTAGATGTTTTATCTGACGGTGTCAGTGTAAAATCGCATTCAGTGTTCTTGAACCTTTTTGTTTCAGGTAAGATTGACATAACTAAGCAGGCTTTATTTTAATGTCCAGCTGCTGGTTTTTATATGTAAATAAAGATATTCAAACCATGTGTTAATCGAAAGGTAGAGGGAATATTTTGACCAATTAAGGAATGAAAGTTGTATTAAATGCTTTAGCAACCAAATTACCTCTTTCTTCTTAAAGGGAATGCATTATTTAGCAGTTTGACTTCATTTAACTGAAAAATTTTTAAATCCATCTGCAATTATGAAGGGATTTACACTTATTAGAAGGGGGGGGGATGACTGAGTTTATAAAAAAGCAGTGAAAATAAAGAAAACTTTAAAGGCATAGATAATCACCTGTTTTTTAATTAGCCGAGATTTAGCATTTATTGCCAGGAGATTCCAGTTACTTCTACTTAATTGATTGGACAGTTGTCTATCGGGGCCTTTGAACCCTCTTCTATCTACTTCAGCGTGAGTGGCTGGATACTAATATTAGCCCTCATACAACTGGTGTAATTCATAGACGGGTATCAATGAAACTGACTTCTAACTAATGTAGAAATTCATAAGTCTAGTGAGTAATAATTGATTACAATCAGGTTACTGCTAAGTAACCTAGTGGAAAATGGTTTAGCGTTTGACATAATGAGTGCTATTTTTGCGGTTGCAGAAGAAAAATTGAGCTGACACGGTTTGAAAGAGAAGAAACACTCATTCTAGATTTTACTACTACCTCTCATTAATCAAGTTTTATTATTAGTTTGCAGAAATTGTTTTCATAACGACTAATTGCTTAGAAGCCCTACTGAGGTTGCTTCTAAATGTCCACATAAATTTCTCTTCAACAGCTTTTATTTTTCGTTCTTTTCCTCTTAAAAGTGAAATTTTATACTAAGTAACGTTTCTTCTTGGTAAGGAAGCAATGTGCCTAATCTTAATGTAATCCAACTTTTCTGGTTGATTTATCATACTAATGAACCTTTGAAATGTTATTTTACAGCTTATTGTTAGATGCTGGAGCTAGTCTGGAAGAAACCGATAACGCAGGTCGTACATCCTTACTTGTGGCGTGTCAAGCGAACAACATAAACGCTGTACATATTCTTCTTAATTATTCAACTAATGATCCATTAAGCTGTAGAAGTCCGACTCACTCTGGATCATCTGAATCTCGACAACAATTAAATCCGAATTCTTCTCATGGTCATCTGCCGCACTATGTACATCCATGTATAAATATAGCCTCGTATGATGGTCAAACGCCGTTGAGAGCAGCAGCATTTAATGGAAATCAAGATATGGTGAAGCTTTTATTGTCCTACGGAGCCGATCCAGATCATCAGGTAACTGTTTCTTACCGTCATATTTACGTTTTGACAGGAAGTACAATTCATTTTGGGGTTTTTCTGAAACACACTGGGATTATTTTAAATAATTTATAATTGAAAAAAAGGCAGAAAACATATCTTTTGTCACTTTATGAAGATTTTTGTGAAGTATGGTTAATTACTCCATTCTATATTTTTAACGTATAAGGCGTCTAAATTAAATGTGAGCTGAAATCATAACTGTCTTCGAAGCTATTTTTATTACATAAACTAGAGTACGTTGAGATCTTTTTGCAGTTAGATGTATTAGATACCAAAGCTTGCACACCTCTGTCATTTCGTTAGTATCAGGTCCTTTAAGATAATTCCAATATGCCTTCCCGGATGAACTAGTTCCCCTATCCGATAGTAGGATTGTATCGGAGGATTATATTTTATTTTACAGTGAACCACTCAGTTTCTGACTAATAGTATCATTTAATTTGTCCGTGTTTCATTCAGTAAGTGATTGGATGGAGATTGGGAAAACGGATCTGCGAGTATCCCAATTTTTCCTTATGAATACAATCAGCCTGACATCACAAAGACGACTGTGCATTAGAATCCATTCAATAAAATAGGTTATTTTGCTGTCGAGAAAAATGCTAAACCTACTCCAACAAGTCCACAAAGAACTTGTGGGTCCACTAAATCAACCTGGAGATGTTAAGCTTCTTACTACACTTAAAAAACTCACTGTTACTTGCTTGCTAGGTTGAAGGGATCTAAATATGGTCCATTCGTCACGGCGAGGACTGAATGTATATTTAGCATATAAAACTTCTTCAAAACGGAGTCGCTTGCTACTCCGATAGATGAATAATAACGTGGATCTACTTAATTTATCAAAATCCATCTTAAGGATGAAAACTACTGAGTGAAATAAAGATAAAAAGAACAACGGCAGAAGTATTTTGTGGATTCAGTTGTGGAAAACTGAGTAATTTTGTAAGATATGTAAGATATGAAGGATTTAGCAGTTTACGAAATAATTAAATCAGTTGCCCAAATGGTTTTATTTCTGAAAATTCTGATAATATCTAAAAAAAAAGTGGATGTGACCACTTGTCTTAAGAGTACAAGGTTAAGTGTGCTGAGAGAAAATGTTTAGGAATTTTCGCTAATGATGCACTCCTTTTCCTGATAGAAATCCTAGACGTATTTTCTAGTAAATCAAATTTGCGATTTACTTTTTGAACAATTCGAGGGGGACTTTTACCACCGTTTCTTTCGGGAACGGAAATTATTCATGACACACATTATGCGATCTAGTTTATATCGTAAGTAGTAAACAAGAAAGCAAACATACACGTGTGATGCTTTATACTGCTGATTGACTGTTATGAGTAGTTGGATTCTATTTACACCATCTAGTATTGACTGCTATCCAGATTGAAGTGAATTAAACACCGGTTTCCAAAGGAAAGTGGAAGGAATTTTTGCATAGAACTGTGTCACTTGCAAGTCACAAATTAATTTACAAAATTCCCTATCTGACAGTAACCAGTTTTTACAAACAGTTGGCCAGAATTCAGGTGGCTTGAACTGATTTAGCTGTCTACACTGAGTTAAACCATGTACGCCGCCAATTAACTCGCTCCCCAAAAAAAGAGTGAAAAGGTCGTCTAATGTTTAGAATACTTTGACCTGTCTTTCAGGAACCACTGGTTGTTATGAGTGGTAACCAAATGCTCATATCTATCAACCGATAGTAACTAGTATCTTTTCCAGTATTTATTTTATGACTATCTTTATGTTCACAATCTATTTTTATTATTGTAGTATGATTTTCATACCTGTTCTCTTCTTGTTTGCTCTCTGGTTTCAAAAATAACAGTTATTTTTAACATCATAGTCCAGAACTTTACATTGTTATTTCCATCTGTCCGTTTCACTTCAAGACTGAGACTTAAACTAGTGGAATAATTTTGCTATAGGAGTCAGTAACCGGGATTGTTGAGGATTCCCATATGAACAGTTGGTTAGTAGTCAAGAGCTGACACCAATTAGACTCTTAAAGGAGTTATACAATACTTGTGAACGAAACACAACTACTTGTTAGTGGTTTTCTTGTCATTCTCTATATTTTATGAGAATAGTATTTTCTCCAAGTTAATTTCCACAAGTATTTCAAATATCTAATTATCCTGACTTTGTACACAATTCACCATCGACTTTTCAACACCTAGCTCAAACACTTATTTATGCTTTTGACGTAAGCAGCTTACATCGACTCAGATGGTTAGGACATGTGTTGCGCATGCATGACTATCCGTCACCTTCATCGACGGGTAATGTTAGCAGACATAGCTAGCGGCGACCAAACCAAGACATGGCTTCATCAGTCAACGAAATCCACAACAGTTAGTCTAAGCCACATGTGAAGATGTAGACTTCCTGGTTGGGGTCTTCGGGACGGTAAACACAAATGGCTGAAGACAATTTGTGATATGCCTCCAATGAAACTATATTGTTCTTCTATACTACTATTCCTTTTATCTCATATCCCTGTTTACTGTCTCTTTTTGCATTTCTTCTACTTTCTTCCCTTGATTTGTGTCCTACATGGAGTGTGGCAACTTGAACTGCTGCACATCGGTGCAAAGTTCCATGTTGAAAGCAGAGAGACAGGTAGAACCAGCTATCAAACTGGTGACACTTATTACATTATACTTCTCAAAATCACCGACATAAGTATCAAAGAGACAGTGAGTTAGGATGTCTTCTTCACTTTTAAATTCTTGGAGAGTATGTTACAAAGTGAAAAGAAATATTCTGAAAGGAAGAGAATAAAAGTTTTAACAGATTTTTTGGTATTCAGTGATGTTACTAACCATAATGATGCTTTCGAACTCTGCTGTATAAGCTAGTAGTGTGGATATAAATCATATGATTCATGTGTGTTGGATGCATACTGCTTTATTTGCATTAGTTTGCATTCAGATACCATATCTGAATTGTTATGATTTTTTTCACCCAGCCACTTTGTATATCTCATTTGATTTCATTATAAATATATGGTGGTTAGATCATAACTCTACCAATTACTCATTTGCAGAGACTATAACCAATGACGTTTTACATTTAAATATCTAATGTTTTCCCTACGAACAATATTTCACCTTAATAAATACGAGACAACCGAGGCGTGTGAAAATGCACAAGATTAGGAGAAACAGACATAAGTTTATACGAAAGCAGTTTAGTTGGATTTTTATGTATAAGAAAAGACAATTTTAAATGTCAAATTAGTTTGGCAGAGAGATCACATAGTGAAACAGTATTATACACTGCATGATGTTTCGAACACATCTTATCTTTGATAATCATATAAAACTTTAAATACCCTTTTCTTAATGAATTTATTCATATCGTTTCTCACATGACACACAATAAGCTTCAACCAAATTGTATTTGTCAAATATTACTCACCTTTGACATTAGGTTGCGGCTGAAAATGGAAATCATTAACCGTCGACGTCTGACTGAATAGAAATAACTTTAATAACCTCATTTTTGGAGGTAAGGCATATAAGTTTAAGAGCTCAGTTTTCAGCCAATGACCACTGGCTCGAGTCCCACTCCACCTACTCCAACCTATGTAACACTCATACTATAAGTGTGGCTCTTTGTTTGATACACGAAAGATCTATTCCACGTTTATAAGTATAAACAACCTCCCCTGAGAATAATTAATAATAATTTGCCTTATTCCAAAACATTACTTGTGATACAGAATGGAATTCTCAACATTCTACTACAGTATTGTGTCCAGTTGGTACATTAACAATAAATAAAATTCTACATAGATTATGGGGAATCTCAGTTAGTTTTGACAACAACATATTGGCATGTCGATAGCAAAGCCAAAATTGAACAGAGTGTTTGAAGGTGTTAGAAGAGTAGTTTCTAGCGTATTTACTGGCGTAAGTGGTAACAAAATGTCGAGATATGCAGAGTGTGAGAGAACGCAGAATGTTTTAATAGAGTTAGTAAGGAAGAAAGAAACAAAGCAGCGCATAACAGAAAAAGAGAGAGAAAAGGAAAAGAAAGAAAGAAAAACGTTGTACCTTTAAATGATATGAGTTGGAAAGACGAGATCGAGTTGTTCTACTGACTATTTAATAAGTTATAGGTATCACGCTTAATGCTTTCTTTATCGCACGGAACACGAGCTAAGTAGGGTATGGTTGAGTTTTTGTACTTGTTAGTGCGAGCATATAGTTTTCTATATAGGCTTCTGGTTCTGCCTGATGAGATACAAGGGGAGAGTTGTGAATGAAGAAGGCGACGCATAACAGATTCAGACCAAGAAGCCTAATCAAGAGGATAATTTCTGTTCTGCCTTTATATGCAAATTTCTAGGAGTTTCCAAAACACATCTGAATCTTTAAACTTACATAACATTTATCGATCTTAAAATGTTATATACATTTTCATGGATTAATCGTACATAAATACGGACGTCATTTTCTATCTGTATCAATTTTTTCAGAATGAAAGAAGTTTGAGAGAAAAAAAAGACAATCACACACTCTTAACATCTGAGTTTCATGTAATTCTCAGTAATAAATCTTTGGCCAGTCATGTTTATTTACATAAATAACATTCATCAGTGTGATAAATTCATGCAGTAAACATTTTTTATAACTTTGACAATTTTGTGAATTTGTGTTTGCCTTTCCCCCTAAAAAATAATAAAGGATGCTTATGGTCGTACTACGCTTTATATGCTGGCATTAGAAGGTCAACTTGATATGGCTGATTTACTTCTTCACTGTCCAGCTCCTGGCGTATTACCTCGTCCTGGATCTAGTAGACTGATTGGCGCCAATCCAGTGTTATCAGATGATGAAGGACGTTTTCCCCTGCATGTAGTCACATGGCTTGGACATGTTGATTTCGTCCGTTTATTGTTGCAGGTAGGTCACTTTATATTTTTTAGGCATCCATAAAGCACCTCCGGGGAGAAAGGTTATTTTTATATAAGATGTTATGTCGAAGATACACATTTTTTATTTCTTTACGTTCCCAGTGGAACATGGGGATCCAAGCTAAAGACTTGAAGTTTCAGTAACAGTAGTGTTTATATTTAGGGAATGGGGTTGCTAGCCTTATGCTCAACTTTCCCTCTTTATCATTCTCATTACTGGCTTACCGAGGTGAAGGAGTGCGTCGGACAGGGACTGAATCCCGGACCACATGCGTGGTTGGCGAGCATGGTACCGCTGTGCCACCAGCACACAGATACACACTTGTTTAAATATAATATATCTTCCTTTCTGATTCTTATCTGTAAAATAAACTAGTAAGTTGTATTGTGGTGAGAGCAGGCAGCTAGCCAAATTGGTAGACATTAATTTACGTCAGTGTTTATGTCCCAAATTTTGGTCGTGAGAAAATACGAACAAAGACTGATTCAACAACCAACCACAGTAGATTTTGCGTAGGCGGATACAGTTAACATATAGATGATCTGACATTCAAGAAACAGTCACAAAAAGATGCAAGGTTAAATTTTTGTGAGAAACAACCAATCAGAAAACTGTGTTTGTTTGCTTGAATAAGCTATAATAATGTACATGAAAATATATAAATACGTGTTGATTTCCTTAATAAACGATCTGTTGCCTGGCCCTTGTCTTCTGTTGTTACAGTATTACTTAAAAGCAAGTCTGATAACATAACAGCGAATTTATTGATGCAAATGACAAACTGCTAAACAGAAATGCACATTTAAGTAAGTTACTTGTAGCTTCTAAGTACTGATTAAAGTCAACAGATCAAGGTTGTTAATAGGCTATCAGAAGAGGCAACAATTCATTGATTGTTCAAGAATTCCAGGGGAATACAAGGTCTCAAAAGGAGCATCATATAACTTCTGGTAACAAATATTTACATATCTGAAATATCGATCATCACAAAAATTAAAATCAAAGAAAGTCGCGTGACAAAACATCCACAAATAAATATCAAGACTGTGAAAACCTCAAACAATTTTCACCCTTATCCTGACCTGTAAAGTTTCTCTATGATTTTAAATGTTCATATGCATCACTTATTCAGTAGATTTACATAACACAGCTGAAAACCAGAAACGAAGGTTTCTTCGAGTATCCCCTATGGGTAACTGCTCCTTTTCAAAGCACATGTTAGACTTGTTAACTTCTCGTTTTTTTTTCCTAAGCTATTCAGATATCGCACTAAATGAAACTGATTTCAGAGTGAATAACCGCATATCCTAGACGGAAAGTCAATACAGAGTAATGAATCATAGAAATAAATTACAGTCTTATTGACAGATAAATAATACAGGACAACATTTGACGTGAAAAAATCACCAAGTCTATGCATGCATAACAATATACAACTATACCGTCAGCTGTTGTCTTATTCTTACGTATAGTTTGTGTCTAAGATAGCTTCCAATGCCAGTTTAATACATTTAATGCTTTGTTGGCCTATTATTTTAGGCATTTTTTAAAGTATATATATGCATACAAATAGGGACAAACTTACAGCTTCACATAAAGCACCATGGGAATAACTACTATTTTAGTTTCTAAATATGGTATACAAAGTTCAAATTGTGTTAATGAATAAATATTTCAAATTTCAATCTGGATTGATTGTGATAATCCACAGTGTGTTAGAAAATGTCAACAGTGAGTAACCACAAATATTTTACCGCTTAACTTTATTAGTACATTGATCGATCAATGAATGGTGAAATGTAAATATCTAGTTAAAATCTTCCAGACAAAGATTCAGTGCAATAGCTAAACGAGTTATCTTCATGCTGTTGTTCTCTTTTATACTTTGTAATTAGCTTACAGTCATTTAAGAACCTGTAGACTTGGGTTTCATGTTTATGATATCCACAGGTAAGACGTGTATGCAGTCTAAATGAATATCATCTTCACTTCGAGATCCCAGTGTGAGTAACTTAGTTTCAAAGTTGACTTAACGTAAACTTTAGAAAAACATATTTTATTATGGGAATTTTTAATATCACAGTAAACTGTTCAAACCACTCTAACTAAGCATGACAACTTCCACAACCGTTATTACTGAGAGTAATGATAATATTGGGACTTTGTTTCATTGTCATATGTGGAGTCTGTGAAAGGCAGAGTGATAGTGAAAAACTATGGCCAATTCGACTGGATGTGACGATTCTATCTTAGATTTCTTCTGCTATACTGAGCTCATGGAAAAATTAGAAGATTAGATTGACCTGTACTGGTAAAAACGACAACTTTATAGAACAAAAAATATATTGTAAATATATACTTACTACCAATTCTCGTATAATCAAGCCAGTCTTAGTGATTAAATATCTAATTTGATTGGTAGTATAAGGTCGAAGGCTCCTCAGTCAGATAATTACGTAATCTGTCTCTGTAGCCAATGACTTAAATTGCCAACTCTTCTTTAATCCGATCTAAGCCAGTTTTAGCCTTCAAAAAGAGCTGAAAAATATGGTTATTTTAAGATTGGATAAAAATTAGGACACTATAACAACAAGTGACAATTAGATTTAGTGCAATAGATAAAACCGTAACATGCAGACTTGAGAGCACTCGTAAAATTAACATTGGACCACTATTAAATGTCGAAAAATAATTCTTTGGGTATTCGCTTGCCGCCACTGATTTGTATAGAAAACAGATACTGACTCAACAGATATTTTCCTTTTAGTTTGAATATTACAGTTCAAATAAACTGTCGGTGTGCTGATCGCATGTGTGTATTTCACTATTTGGAAAGTAGTCACAATGTTTGAATATATACATCTTTATCTTTTTCAAATAATAACAGTATACAAGATTTTATCATGAGATGATATTGGTTAGAGAACCATTGGAAAGCCTGAAAGTACTGGACAGCTGTTTGGTCCTGGGTTCGAACCCAGGACCTTCTGGTTACAAGGCGAGCTCGTATGTCATTAAGCTACTGGGACCCGATCCAGCTCATGATCAATTCCTGTGATCAATCAACCAAATTCCTACAAACCAATACTTGAATATTAGTATACGTTTAGATCCTTTCATAAGAAGTCTACTAGTTAAGTTGCATTTTTTCCAGTTAGCGAAAATTCGTCAGGTTTTTGCTACAGCATGAAAAAAGGATAACATCTGTCTGCAGTTGCAATAGAAATTTTAAATAATATTACCACTTATGGCACTGTTATTATTCAACTTCATGTTTTGTTAAGTAGGCCCTTGAAAATTATATTAATTTAAGTGAGGTATTTTACACTACCGTATTAATGGGCAAGGATAAACAATGAAATGGTGTTCAAGGGTTAATCACATGTCAGTGCTGAATTTAAAAAAAAGTATCGTTTTTAAAAATGAAATCATTTCATGTTACAATGAATACAATGAATGAATGTCAGTAAAGTATTTCACAATATACTTAAGAGATGTATAAGGAGGCACCGATAACTGGCTCTTCAAAATAGGTCAAATAATCAAGAGTAGACCGATTTAATACGTAATTTGATTGGACACTTGGTAATAAATAACGACATGCATCCAGTTCTCTGTTAGGTACAGACTGTATTGTATCAGTCAAGTTTGTAACGTGACCATCATGCTACGTGACTCGCCATCATGGTGCACTTTGAATTGTTGATATTAGATACTTAGAGCCAATCAGCAGGTGGCCATATTGCAAACCTGACTGATAGAATTCAGTCTGCACCAAACAAAGAACTAGACACACAGCACTAATTACTAACCAGTGTTCAGTCAAAGTATCCAATGCAGTCCTACAGGAGGTCAATCGCGAGACCGAAAAGCTCAGATGTAACGTCTCTGACTGAAGGTGGCACTGGTTGATGCAGGTTCGAATCGCAGAAGGGACATAAATTCCTTCAATATTTGAGATACGCCTTACTGAATGGGAAGTGTTAACAAGCACGAAACCTAGGCCCGCGGCTTCCTGACGATTGCCTTCAACCATCTGATAATAAGCTCATTATATTTCAAAATACAAACTGTTAGCAAAGTTAATTATTTCAAAATACCTGCATTGTCTTTAAATAAACGCATTAAAGCAGGGTAATATATAGTTGACCAGAAGCCAATACAACTGTTTTCATTTTTCGTTAATTATTTGATTGCAAGTGATTCGAAGTTTTTATTCCGACTGGTTTTTGTATGCATAGCCTTAATTTATAAAAAAAGATTTTTCAAAAGGATCAAATTGTGTTGTTTCTTCTATGTGTATTTAGACATATAATTGTAATATATACAATGTGAAACAGAATCAATAGTATTTTGTTCCCGAGGTCAGAAAAATTCTATGTTTATGCCACCAAATCAGCTGATTATTATTATTACTAGTTTCCTTAGTCTTACGTTGTGATTGTATGCGTAATTGTACGCAAGTCAGTATTTCACTGGTTACTTTGAAAGTGTTTATTGCACATCTGGTTAACTAATCGGCACATTACATTCGTTGATTTACAGTTGTAATCTGAGAGATTACGTTTTTAGTTGATAAGCAAATGCATGTATGAACACAAATTACTAGTGGTAATATAAATATAAACACATGACGTAATATTGGTTGTAATATTTGACAGTTCATAAACTCTTTTTTTCTATCCTAAGTTGTATTGCTTTTAACAATTCAACTGAATCCTAGTGATAGTTAGGTAACAAAACACATAAATCATATGAACGCATATTTCACTTAAAAGTATATCTGAATGAAGGTTAGGTTTCAAAGTCATTTTCTTTTGTCTATTTCTGCATTATTATATATCGTGACTCGTGATTATTGCATAAGGATTACGGATAATTCGGCTTTGTACAACATAAATTATATGGTGTTCATACACATTAACTTCAAACCTGAGGATTTCAAGAAGAATGACGTAATGACTTCTCAGAGCTCCATCCAAATAAGTGTCTCCAGTTTTTCGGTGTCGAATAGGGGTAAATAACCATTAAATTTTAGTTGTTCTGATTTCCTAAAGCAATACTTTATATGAATTGACTAGAATATCGGAATCTTGGTCAATGAATGGATCAGCCACAATAACATGACAGCGTTTGAATAGATGTTGCGTGCCTTTATGTATGAACATCCTTAGACCCAACTGACTGGTCTTCAAAAAGTGTTACTTAGTGGACTGTGACTAGCGGTGAGATACAGGATGCGTTTCTCGTCCTATTTAGGACTTAAAAGTTGGATATGCCTATAAACCTCAGTGAGGGATGGCGTTCTTACTGACACTCGAACCTAGTAGCCATAGCTTCTAACACCAAAGCGTTATTCACTAGGCCACTCGGGTTAAGCCATTACTCGTTTAGGTTTATTCTGCATTTCCTGCGAACTTTATTGTACTGTAACGAAATGTTCAGTCTTAGGTGACTTATCTGTGCCTACTAGAAATGTTTCGACAATGTCTTAGGCGTCTGAAACAATGGGTGCGGGCATCTACTCTCAGTCGGTACACAATCCCCGATAAGTCACAAATAGGACGTAATGCACCTCCTGGATTCCACTGCTAGTCATTATCAACCGAAAAAAGTATCACCTTAATTAACCGCATGGATCATTCCAGTCCAACATGGAACAAATTGCAAAATTAACTTAAACAAATACATCAATGTTATAGTTTATTTTCTCGTCTCTGTCCATTAGGAAAACAATGCAATTAAGTCGATACATAGGTGAAAATCATCCTTAATATGATTATATATTCATTGTTCAAAAATCTATAGTAAATCAATAATAAATGTGAAGGTCACAAGGCCGTAAATAATAATTTCTTTCTATTCAACATAAGCCTGTTTCCTAAATATGGAGTAATGGCGCAGAAAAATAGACTGGGCATGGTTTATTGTTCACTCTTGCATAAGTTAACAATCAGAGTCAACCAAAAATGAAGAGTAAACCAGACTGATTTATGCCAGTGTCCTCTGAATTTTTCTATCAACAACAGTTTATTGAATGAGTAGGATCTCAGTTTAGCTGTAGTCTTTATGAATCTTAACTAGTACTGATTTTAATTCAAGATAATTGGTTGTCTTCCCATTACTTAATTTCTAACTTTACCCATCATATTTTTACGCTAATTTAATTCTACTAACTAGGGCTGTCTTAGATGAACCAATTACCAGTCGATGGAAGACCTTCCACATTAGTTTCTTTATTAGATGAATCACACAGTGAAACAGTATTATTTACTGGATGACAGTTTCGAACATAATTTATTGTTCATAATATCAATTATAACCACATGACTTCGAAACTTGAGTTTTATAGTTTTCTTTTCTCTCTCCTATTTGTCGTAGGCGTAGTAGAATTTTTCAGATACCTGGGACAGGTGTTGAATCATTCCTACTACCCCTACGACAAATAGGAGAGAAAAAAGTAAACTATAAAACTCAAGTTTCGAAGTCATGTGGTTATAATTGATATGATTTTGAACAATAAATTATGTTCGAAACTGTGTCATCCAGTAAATAATACTGTTTCACTGACTGTGTGATACATCTAATAAACAAACTAATATGGAATTACTTACTACCACAGTGCCCAAGTTTTACACATATATTAATGGTGGAAGACCTTGTAAACCGTAATCACATGGACAATTTATTGACAACTGTTTTAGATTTGGGGTCACATTTGCTTAGCTTTGTACATGCTGACATCAAATTTAAAAATCACTAGGTGAATGTTATTTTATTGAAAAAAAATCCAAACCAGACTATAACTAACAAGCTCCATTATCATACTGAATAAAACACTTTCTATAAAAGTAGTTTTGCATATCACCAAGAGGAAGTGGATGAAAGTCATTATTATTGTCTCTTGTAATTCCTAGAGGAATATATGGCTTCAGCCGCACGTCTAAATTGCGTTCGGTTCTCCGCCAACATTTTCACCTGGTTCCACGTCTACCCACAGGCTTTTATCTCCTATTCACATGCCTTCTTCCATGTCACTCTCGGACGACCGACCCGCGCTTCCCATTCGGGGTCCACTTGAGTGATGGCCTAGAGTGTGATGTTAATTGATGGTTTTTTCAGAGTACAGCCAATCCACCTCCATTTATTCCTGAATATTTGTTGCATATTTGAAAGTCAGCTGACAAGAAATGATTTGGGCGTAAAACATTAGTCCTGTTTTCGGCTGATACATCTTAGTTAACTTCATCAGACTTAAATCCACAATGTATTTTGTCATGAAATAATTTCCCTCATCCGTTCCTTTTAAAAATGTTATTAAAGTGCACAGTGGTAACGTGAAGAATATACGTCTTAATAAAATACTATTTATTTTGTGAAAAAACATTGTAGCTCTTTCCATGAAGAATTTCTTTTTAACCTTTTTGATGAATTACATCCAGTTCGGTATAATAAATCTAAACCTCCTTTCTTCTTTTTACAGGCTGGTACACCGGTTGATATTCGTGATCGTGAGGGTAGAACACCTTTACAGTTAGCTGCTTGGCAAGGTCATGCTGAAATATGCCATATATTGTTGAATGAAGGCAACGCTCGAGTAGATGCGGTTTGTAGTCAAGGTGCTACTGCATTATGCATTGCTGCACAAGAAGGTCATTTAGATGTTTGTAAAGTACTACTTCAAGTAAGTTTTTTCCGCCTATTTTCTTATTATAAAGTTATCCTACATTCCCAAGTCTTCTCTGTTGTTATTATTATTGTTTCCTTTTGTTCTTAGTGGAACATAGGGCTTCAACTGAACGTCTCCACTTGCCACTTCTGTCTTCCTTCTGCTGTACTTTTCACCTGCATCCATGTTAGTTAGTCCATACTCTTTCAACTCCTCTTCACACCATCTCCTCCATGTCACCCTTGCACTAATGTCCCACTCGCCGCTTCCCATTCTATTCGGTTCCACTCGAGCAATGGCCTGACGCATAGTGTCATCGAGCGGTCTCTGTTGTTAGCCGCTTCTTATTTTCAGTCATTAACACCTTCAGTAGTTAAATTCGAACTTACTACAAAGAAAAGGAAAGACGAAATTTTAACTATACTAAAAATAATAGTAATAGTTCTATTCTGAAAATACGTCTGCATATAATAAAGAATTTCCATTTATCCCTTAAACAGAATCTCCAAGTAATATAATAATCGACAATATATAATCTGAACCATACTCCAATATTTCACTAAATGTCTCTGTTTTCTTCAAAAGAATTCATAGCAGTAGGCTGATTCCTTTTTGAATATGTGCATGAGTACAGATTGTGGTTGTTGGACTTAATTGGATTATTAGAAAAACATGAAATCGAAGGGATACGATACATTTAGATGGATACAAAATTTAAGGAGTATGTATACAAGTTACAGCAAAACAAACTTGCTACGCTTTCGTTTCACCAGGGATAGTCAATTACGGCTTAAATTCCCTGAAGTAGTCGAACTTATCTGATGTTGTGTTACATGCTCAAGAAAGTGCCGTAATCAGTTCTTTTTAAGTTTTCACATTTTTTAAAAAATGTGTTTACAAACTTGGGGTTAAAAATTGGGTTTAAGGCTTTTAAGAAATTATGCATATCTCAAACTTTCTAACCTTAGCGCGTTAGTGGATCACAGTCTGTTCTGTACATTAAATTGAGGACACTGTATGTTTGGTTTCACATGTAGACAAACCAAGACATTTAAAAACTACTGGCAATCGAAATATACACCTAAACGAAATAAAATCATTCTAATAGGAGTTTATCATTATGGGGATTTGCAGCTTCCTCTGTGTGCATTTTTGAAATCAATTTTGTAATTAATTTCCCTTACCAATAGACATTTTCAGCAGTCATTTTGACCACTACTTTTACTACTTGTTGAATTTCAGTAGTTGAAAATATACCACAAAAGAATAAATTCCATAACTTGTGTATTTTTCATTCCTTTTTTTTGTTAGGCCAATGCAAATCCCTTACAAACTGATTCCCATGGACGAACACCATATCGTGTAGCCTTAAAAGCTGGACATTTAGAAATATGCAAACTTTTAGAGTTAAGTCAACCAGATTTTACAATGATTAATGGACAGTGGCAAAGTATCAATAATGATCCATTTCAAAATAAACATGTAAAAGATATGAAGACTAGACGTGATTCTGACAAAGTTCCTCAATTCCCAGTATCTTCACAACAGAAATATGCAGTGAATAATACACCTATTGTATCAGATAGTCCCGCTAAGATTAACAGTAAAGAATTTCAAGTGGTCAGAACTGAAAATTTGAACCAGAATATTTCACCCCGTCAACATAATCAACCGTCTAAAGGTTAGCACTAAATTTTATTTATAATGGTTTTCACTTGAATGGAAAAAAAACTGTGTCCATTCTGCTATGGTTATACAGTTTTACGGGTTTATTCACTTACTGTTGCTTAGATATAAAGTCAGTGTTGATAGAAAGAAATGAGAAGTTTCTATTTGTGTAACTCATTAGTTCACGTCTAAGCTGTGTACAGAAGCGATGTACATAATGCATTAATTCGCCATTGTTACAAATTCTTCATTTCACCTGTTGTTTCTTCTGATTTCAATGAAATTTTTCTGCACTCCTTTAGATAATTTCCCGTTCTGTGGATAGTTTACTGTTTTCTTTTCCAGTGTTTCCGAAATTTACTCTTAGTTTACAAATATATGATAAACTTCTTCATCTTGTTGTATCCATGTGTATAGTCGTACCACTTTAAATATCATATCTCCCAAGCATTTTAAATAAAAACCTATCAGAATTCCTGCGAAACGAAAGCTTTACATCTGTATATCGGCAGTTATGCCACACAAAATTGAGGACTTACAAGCGAAAACCGACAAACTGGTCGAAGAAGCAGGTAGTGAAGACAGGACTGCAAGTGAACATAGACAGGACGGAGGTTATGAAAATAACATACCAACAACAACAACACCATCCAGCGCCAATCACCGTCAACGAGAGGGATTTGAAAGAGGTTAGTTCATTCACTTACTCATCTAGGGAGCAATGTCTCAACTACACGCAGTCGAAACGGACGAGGATGTCAAATCGAGAATCGGGAAGGCAGGTGAGAAAAACATTCATCAGCCTGAAACCAATTTGGAAGTCTTCGTCACTCAGCCAGCATCAACAACAAAATTCGGTCGGATTTTCAATACAAACAACATCAAGTCAGTTAGTTCTTCTATACGGATCAGAAAGAGCCTGTTGCAGACGCTACCTTTATCAACAACTGTCGTCGCTGGCTCTATACTGAAGATCAGATGACCGGGCCGGGAAGAATCACCAACAGGAAACTATGGCTGGGAACAAACAAAACAAGAACCAATCGCCAACCAACAAATATGCAGGAGAAAGTGGAGATGGATTGGACACTTACTAGCTGAGGAGGCTTCTGGGTGACATCGCGCATCAGGCCATTGCTCGAGTGGAACCAAGCCGAAAGTGAAGCGGCGAGTGGGACGTCAGTGCAAGGGTGACATGGAGGAGATGGTGTGAAGAGGAGTTGAAAGAGTATGGACTAACTAACATGGATGGAGGTGAAAAGTACAGCAGAAGGAAGACAGAAGTGGCAAGTGGAGACGTTCAGTTGAAGCCCTATGTTCCACTAGGAACCCAAAGGAACAATAACAATACAATATATCGGCAGTTATGCGTTGGAGGTTCAGCGGTAGGACACGTTCATCAAACACATACGTGATCAGGGGCTCAGATCTCGGCCAACGTACTCCTCAACATCACTGAGCCCATGGTAAAGGCGGTGAAGATGGAAGACTGGATGTATAAATAAGACCCCTGCTACCGAAACTGCAAAGCCCTAGCTTGAAGCCCTATGGTCTGCAGGGAACAGAAAGAAATATACATATATCAGCAGTTATACCAGAGGTACAATAGCATGACTATTTAAGCTGAAAAAATAATAGTTCCCTGCATACTATTTAATTTTCTTAGTGACACCGTCAAGGGGAGACCTTGACAATGTTCATTAAACTGATGACGATTCTGTCAAATCTCACAATCATATTATAGTTAAATGGATAGGAAGCAACGTTGTTTTGTAAAGTACAAACACTTACACTACATGGTGTTCTACAATGACTTAAATAATTAGCGAATGAATTGGAATGATATTTCTGTATCAGATTAAAGAGCAAAAGTATCACATTAACATTTTTCCCATCTTAATGGTTGCAAAATAATTACCGTTTATAATGTTTTTCGGAAACTTATATGCTACACATATGGTGCTTTAAACGTTTACTTCGTTGGAAAACATCAAAAGTGCATATAAATTTGGGAACTGTGTTTACATTTATTTATTGTTATACCATCATATTATTCTGTGTCAATTACATTCCAAAATATATTTCCTTTCATTTGAAATGTATATGTACTAAAGGTTTTTCCAAGTATATATATATATATATATATATGTCAAATCTAAAAAGCACTTCAAACACAGATAATTGAATAAAGAATATTGCTTAAGATAACTTCCTCTTCAGGCTGTACAGTTAAACATATATATGGCATTAAGTTCCTCTGTCAAGATGAATTATCTCAGAGTTTTTATTCAAAGTAAATTAGTATAATTTTAGCGATGGTGAGGATCATGTGAACAAATGATTGTGATTAGAGTTATTAAGTAAGCTATCTTCCGTCAGATTATGAATTGAAGGTGAATGAAAGTCAAAAAAGATTAGATTACATGAACAGAGGATAGGATTGTCCATGCTCGCGTACGTACTTACGTGCATGTTTACATAAATTTGAATGAATACAGATAATAAGAGAGATTATAGTTCCAAATTAACTGTATATATGTGTGGGCATAAAATTCAATGAACACGATATAAATAATTTACGTTAATATGGACTAGAAAGATATGTGCATAAATCACTGAAAATACCCATTGAGTCTTGAAGAAAATAAAATAAAAATTCAGCTAAGAAAATTTCCTTTATCGACGAAATCATCTTCAGAGGCTGTACAGTCGTATATCTCAGCTGAGATCCTGAAGAATCTCTTATGCAGATTCCTGAGGAGAGCCTTCTTTATGGCTGAGCTACGTATCAATTTCTACAGCCGACAAATGATCAATGGATGTGTGAAGGATAAACTGCAGCTTTGGTTCACCTCAATGTGTGATTATAAATTCACCTGATCGTGTGGAGCTAGTTATATTGGCCACATAGAACGCACACTTTCCAAACGCATCTCTGAACATTATCCAGCATGGTTAGCAAAAGGACAATGCAAGACAATTATTAGCTCAATTCTCGAGCATTTGGTGAATTCAGGTCACGTAGCTCCACCAGAGTCATTTTTCAACATCATCTACAAAGTGAAGCCAAATGGTACAAAGGGGGTCAGGGTTCGACTTTTGTGTATGGCGGAGGCGCTGGCAATTTGTCAATACAACCTTGAACTCTGTATACAGAAAAAGTTTGTCCAGTCTCTTATTCTACCTTGCTGTTAACCTCTTCACTAGTTGTTCCCTTTAAAAAAATTTTTGATTTTTCTTTTCCTTTTTTAATTTCTAATTTTACTTTTTGTTTGTTTTTGCTTTATTAATTGATTCACTATTATCACTCAAATGTTCCTTTCGTACATTTTCACACCCTCTTCACACTTGTTAAATTGACACTGAACTACGTTTATTCTCACTCAATAGCAATTTTAGCCTTATCAAATTTCTAACTTTTTCACCGTTGAGTACTACGTAATTTACAACTTTTATTTTTTACTTCTAAAGCCACTTCTGAGTAATTATATCAATTATGTCATCCCCTATTACTGAATAATAGACCACTATATATTTTTTGTAAGTATAAATACGACTGTACAGCCTCTGGAGGTGATTTCGTCGATAAAGAAAATTTTCTTCGCTGAATTCGTCTTTTATATGTGCATAACTTGTTGATTATTAGAATCAAACGCCTTTTATTCACATGGCTTTTTGCAGTTTCTTGTTTCTTCTGGATGCTGAATTTGGGCCTTCTGTTTTATTTGAATTGCTACCACTTCTGTTGTTTGTGCAATTCAAAGTCTAGACGCCTTTTGATAAGTTGATAGGAACATTGTAAATGCTAGAGAATGACTGATTGATGATTAGCCTTATGGTCAGTCTGGAGTAACAGACATACTATCTCTAAATAGCAAACGTTTAACACAAAGGCTTTTCAATAATTCTCAATGAGTGATAATACTAATTTCAACTGATTTATTTTTGATCAGTTTTGTTTGTCTTAAGAATACAAGAACTTTTGAGGTCATTTAGAATAAGTACTACTTTAAAATGATATAAAATACACGAGATAGGTTTCCTAATTACTAAATAAAAGCGAAGATAGTTGTGTTTATTGAGATATCTTATATTCAATCAATCTTGATAACAGACTTGTTAGTTTATTCCGCCAACTCCCCTTCGCTCCACGATTAGATAAGTTTATTGAATATAGCACACAGCAAAACAGTTTTAATAACTAGATGACTTTTAGAGCACAACTAATTGCTCATTATCATATGAATGTAATCGAAAGACTTGATAATTTGCTTTAGACGGCTCCCCTGACTGATGCTTTTTGATTGCAATCTTCCATATATTTCGGATAGGTATTGCGTTGTTTCGATTTCACACCTTCGGTGTTGATTTAATGAATAAAGACTCAGTCTCCAACTATATACATATTTTATTTTAGTAATATAGTTGTGCGTGCGTGGCATGGAGGCAAAATGCTCACCAACCATGCATGTGGCCCGGGGTTCGATCCCCGGCCGACGCACTCCTTCACCTCGCTAAGCCAATGTTAAGACTGGTAAAGAGGGAAGGTTGGGCATGAGGCTAACAATGCCATCCTGTAAAAATAAACACCACTGCTACCGAAACTTCGGCGCTCTAGCTTGAAGCCCTATGTTCCATTGGGAACGTAAAGGAATAAAAACATTTTAATAATTTCATCCTATACCACCCTGTTGTGTGACTACATGCAACCGAATGCATTGAGGTAGTCCCGCTTTCTTCAATATTATTTAACTTAGCAGGGTCAATCATTCTAGATTTGGCTAAATTTCTATGTTCCAATAATCCAGTTAGCCTCAATTTACTAGTTCGACTTGTGTAACTGACCTGACAGTCATTATATGATACTTGGTAAATTTTTTTGTTTTTCTTAATTAAGCTGACAGATATTGTCTCTCTCAGAATAAAACTAGCTAAATCTACAAAGTTTGTCTCTGAATGAGTTAGTTGGTTTAAATGTCACCCAAATTCCAGCATAAAACACGTGTAGTAAAA